AATTTAATCACCCTGTATTTCGGAAGCCACGCATTTTTGGACCCATGTTTATATAGACTGTATGCATTAATTTTAAAAGTTCTATCGAATCTTAAAGTTATGCAACAATAAACTGAAACACCCTGTTTAAATGTGGACTGTTCACATACAATTTCAGAGCCGTACTATTATTTATTGACAAGATACTGATGAATAAAAAATGCATGAAAAATGCACAAAAAATCAGTTCTGTCAAAAAAGAAATAGATAACATTGTTTTTCAGTCATCTCTATACACAACATGAAACAATGAGACTTCAATGCATTAAGAATGCTCATAAAAAAAGGCTGTTTCGCATATGTTACCTTATTCACATACCTCTTTCCATGAGTATAGCATAACATAGACATAGAGCTTCAATTCTGTGTACGCAATTTCAGCTCCTATGTAAGGATCTATGAAACCTTTGTTATAAAATTTTGAGAAGGGATGGTATAGAGTGGTAGAAAACCATTAAAGCCACACACGCACGTTTATTTAAAAAAAAATGAGTGAACATTGTCATTTCTTCTTACAGAAACTAGCTAGACTCTGTCTTCAGATGTCTCTTCAAATGTCTATCAAAATTGCCCTTAAAAATAGTTTTAAAGTCACACTTTTCGCATTCGTATACATTTCTTGTAACAGATGCCATGTCTTTCGGATGCTTTTTCAATATATGATCATCCATATATCTTTTATTTTTGAATTCCATGTTGCAGTGTGGACAGCAGGAGAGCTTATAATCGGGATTCCCCTCAGGATGTCTTGAAGAATGTTCATTAAGTTTCTTTCTTACTGCAGTTTTGTAGTTACAAACTTGACACTCATATACTTTGCCTGTAACTGACGATATATGTTCCGGGTGCTTTTTTACTATATGATCATCCATGCTTGACTTCACTTTGAACTTGGAATCACAATATAAGCAGTTAAAAAACTTGTAATTCATTTTGGCTTCAGGATGTTTGAGCATATGCATTTCAAGCTTGTTCTTTGAAGTTGACTTGAAGTTGCATCTGTCACATTCGTGTATTTTACACGAAACTGATGCGATCAATTTTGGATGCTTCCTCAAGACGTGATCGTCTACCGCTCTTTTAGTTTTGAACTCTGAGTCGCAATATGGACAGGTATAGTTTGTACCGTAATGTGTATACATGTGTCTGTCAAGCTGGCATTTCGCTGTTGTCTTGTAGCTGCACAGTTCGCATTCGTGGATTTTGCTTGTGACAGATTCCTTAAATTCTGGATGTTGTTTCAGTAGATGATTTTCCATTGATCTTTTATTGTTAAAACTCCCGTTGCAAACGGGACAAGTGGTGTACTTGTAGGCAGATTTTGTTTCTGGATGATTTAACATATGCCTGTCAATTTGACGCTTGTACACTGTTTTGTAAGAGCATATTTCGCAACCATAGATCGTACTTGTGATGCAGGCGATGAATTCTGGATGATTTTTCAGTATATGAGTTTCAAAGGTTCGCTTGTCTTTGAATGATGTATCGCAATACGTGCAGGTTTTCGTATGTGATGTTAGGAAAATGGGATACTCTGCTTTCACACCCACATAATCAATTTTATGCGATTTCATATGTTCAATAAGTTGGTATTTAGCATCAGAAGTATAGTCACAATGACAGCAACAGAACGTGCTGTTTTTTGCCTTGCCCTCTTGTCTCAAATTTTCCGCTTTCGAAGTACTAAAAAAAACATTTTTTTGTATCATATTTTACGAAGTAATGCAAACCAGTCCAGGAAATATGAGCCAAAAATCAGTTTGAGTAAGGTAAATAACTTTTTGAAGACTGTCATTCAAAGCTTTGATATAACTATCTATATATATATAAAAAAACGTAAATAACATTTAACAACATCCTCACATACTATTGTAAGTTGATTTAAATTCATTTTACACAATTGTTGCTACTTTTATCAATGTAATTGCAGCTCCTGATGATGATGGCCCAGACCATTGAAAGCTAGAGAGATTAAAAAAGACTCCTTCTTGCTTAAATTTTGTCCAAGTACCCAACAAAAGGCGGAAGCTTTAATTTTCACCTAACTGGTCTAGACGACAATGACCACGTCTCAAGTTATATATATATACAGGGTGTCCGCAAATTTGGGGTTTTCCTTTACACGACGTGTAGAGCTTGAAAATATAAGTAATTTTTCTTAGTACCATATACACCACTGTCTTAAGGGAACCGAGATAAAGGGCTCTGCAACATCAAAAATATCTGAATACCGTCCTGTAGCCGCGACCTGCGACACCACCGAGTGCTACAAGGTCACTGGCTCAACCCGACGACAGAACTGGGTCGGGGTCAGTGTGTCAGGTCAGTATGCAACCTTCAACCGACGGTTACGGTCACGCGTGTAGAGGTAATCGCGTAGACGAGAATCCCTCAACAAGCACTAGAGACATGGCTAGACAAGAGCAAGTATCAAAAACTAAAGTGTGGCAAACGCTGCGTGAAGAGGGGCTGTATCCGTTTCACGTCCAACGTGTACAAGCCCTTCAACCTGACGATTTTCCAGCAAGAGTGCGGTTTTGTGAGTGGTTGTTGCATCAACATGACAATAATCCGGACTTTTTGAAGTGCATATTGATGACAGACGAATCTACGTTCACGCGTAATGGGGTGAATAACTTTCGCAACACTCATGTCAGTAGAAAGTCCGCACGCTGTCCGTCGGGCACATTTTCGGTGAATGTTTGGGCTGGCATGGTGAACGGTATGCTCATTGGACCATTTATCCTCCCAAATCGATTGGACGGGATGCAATAAGTGTAAGACAATCAATGTGTTTTCTGCACGATGGTGCACCGCACCATTTTAGACGCGAAGCGCGTGAGTTTTTGAATGAATTATTTCAGAATAGGTGGATCGGACGTAATGGACCCGTAGCGTGGCCTCCGCGATCTCCAGACTTAACACCATGTGATTTTTTTCTTTGAGGAGAAATGAAACGCTTAGTGTACAAAACTGAAGTGCATACGGTTGACGAACTTCGTCTCAGAATTGAACAAGCTGGTGCTTTCATTCGGGGGAGGGACTCCATTCTCAAAGCCTGCACCGATGCTTGGCTACGTCGTGCACGCACCTGTGTTTTTGAATCAAACGGCGATAACTCCGAACCATACCTATAAAGTACGTTTACCCAAAAACGCGGCAACGCTGTCTTATTTGTTACCTCTGTTCGTGGTCTGCACCACCGCCGGCGTCTGCTCGGTAGCGCATCAGCTGATTTCACTTCTGTTGCAGCGGTATGATTTCGGACAGAGACGTACTTAGCCCTTCTCGTCAACTGGAGAGTGAGTACTTTTTCCTTTATTTTTTTTACTTGGTCGCCCTCGTTTCACTACACATTACCTTTGTTATTTCAAGGGTAGTTGTTTCTGAAAAGGAAAACCCCAACTTTGCGGAAAGTTTATTATTGTTTAGTTGTGATATACATACATGCTGACAGTTTGAACAGTATTCTGGGAGTAGCTAGAAATTGCTTGGATAATTTATGATATGTTACTCCCTTGAGCGAAATATGTTTTTTTTGCTTCTTTTTCTTGTTTGTTTTTTCTTTAGATGAAATCACCTGCTTTTTATGTGTTTTCTGTTCTTGTTATTTTGATTTATCTTAGGATTGTCCTGTAAATGGTTTCCTTAACTGTTGGGCAATGAACGCTATTTATTTATTATTTATTATTATCGCTATATTCTGATTAATACTTTTGGAAATCTATTCATTAACAGAGAAATAATTATGAAAAATAATAAATATTACTAAAATACTCAAAACCTCTATACTTCGCTTTCGTATGGTTCTAAAATTTGAACCCATCTTCAAATTCATTTCCATTTTCCTGGACTATTAGCATTACAACAAAAAACTTACAGTTTTGGGACCTCACACTTGATATTAAAATTTAGGCAAAAAAGTACCTTGTATTTATCAGATATGAATCTTCATCTACATTTTCCTTTTTTATCTCTACTCGCTCTAAATACTCTGGAATATCTCTGTATTCAAATGTGTTGCTGTCTCGTTTCCTTTTTCTTGATGTTACACTAAAATAAGCAAACACGTTAACAATATAATTTGATAATATACAGGGCTTTGGTTGTTTGACAGTACGTCAGGAATAATGTTTTTAGATAAAACACTTTAGAGTTTGATTTTTTTGGACAGGTGAAAGCTTTTATAGCATCTTTCAGGCAGAAAACCTCGATAACATTGTCTGTCGGCATTTTCTTCCCGTATTGTGAGACTCTCCAAAACGCGGCATATTCACAACACGTCGGCAATTCGCACCACGGTAATGCTTTCATCATTTCATCATGGTGGGTAGCGTTGCCTTAAGTATTTTTTGAACGGATCGGGTTAGTGAGTTGAAGTTATGAGTGATTAAATTGATGCATAAAAGAAAAGGCTTGTTGGCTCTGGAAGTGGATGCTGGACATTGGGGGGAACATAATTTTGCAAGATTAGAAACCAATGCTAAAAATGTCTGAAGGTCTGTTTCATTTACTCGGGTAACACGTTTCAGTACACATTTCAAGGTCAGGTTATTGAGATCAAACGTGTTCGATCGTGGACTTGCCTCGCTTTCGATGAAGTCAGAGGCAAACTCAAAAGACCTCGTTCAAACGAGGGCAATTTCACTAGCGCAAGGATCACATTAGTGTTTTATTAAAAAATAATACATAATTATACATCATAAATATCCTATAGGTTGTAGAACTGCTAGACGGACTCTTCAGGCTTCTGCCTCCCATCCCAACTCGAACATTGTACATCCAGAACTGGCTGGTGTGACCGCTCCTTTGTTCCTGGAGTGTCTAAATTAGGGAACAGACTGCTTTTCATCTTTGGCGGTTAAAATAAAGGTGAAAAGGGGTTTCAACTTCCTCAGTATGTGATTGTTAAACTTGTAATTGTTCTATTCGATTGCACGTACATTTCTCTAACAACTCTTCTATACTGAGCATATCTTGGTGTGACTCTTCATAGCGGCCAGTGAGATGAAGCCCTTACCACAGATGGGGCAAACGTTTGGTTTCTCCCCGGTATGTGTCTTCAGATGGTACCTGAACGGCGATCTATGGGCAAACGGTTTACCACAAAACTGACACGTGTATGGTTTCTCTCCGGTATGAACCCGCATGTGTTCAGTAAGCAGATCTTTCATCGCGAATTTTTTAGGGCAATTTGTACAACTGAAAGGTTTATCGCCACTGTGGATTCTCAGATGGTACACCAAGCGGCCTTTTCCGGAAATTTTCTTGCCGCATATTTCGCAAATTACCTAAAACGCAAAAATTCTGCTGAAAAACGTTTCATTGGAAATATATACAAGAACCAGCGCAACGCAAGCAACATGGCTTGTTCCATAGGTGAAAAATCTTGACGCGGGATTCCACAGGGATCGGTATTGGCGCCAGCATTATTTGTGCTGCACATTAATGACATCTATACATGCATTGAAACTACTACGAAGGTATGGTTGTTTGCGTTCTGGCTAGTTTGAAGTACACTTACTGAGGTGTCAACAACGATGTTTGTATGCTTTCTTCTTTTGTGATAATACAGCCCAGCCAACGATTCGAACTGTTTATCACACAAGTCGCAATCGTGCTTGGTTTTCGGCTTCCCAGTGATAGCCTCGTAGTGCATGTATCTTCTGTGAGATGCCAATCTTCTTGAGAATGAGAAATGCCTCCCACATATCTCACATTGGTAAGGTTTTTCGCCAGTATGGTAATATTTGTGCTCTTTGGCATACTTCGCCACTTTGAAACCCTTGTCGCAGATTTCGCATTTAAACCTATAAGAAATCAATTGAGATTTGAAGGCGACAATGAGATAAGATCCTTGTTAGATTTTCAAATGATATAATCAAGATACTTGACTAAAGAGTACAACATTTTCGTGTTTCTGGAAGTATCTCTGTACTATTAACATTTGAGAGTATTGGAGCTGTGAAGACTAGATATAGAAGGTCAAACTGCCCAAAGGAAGACAGCCATTCGTATGGATACACCCGAATATCTCGGAAACTAAGACTGACAGGATAAAAATTTGAATACAAAAGTTTTACAATATCAAATGACGCATCACCTTGAAGGTCATTTCAAGGGCACGTTATTTTTTAAAATGGGAACCCCCATGCTTTTATTGCAGAAATAGAAAGCCAAAAAATGCCTTTCCAAAATTATAAATATCATAAAAGTATATCTAGAGGTTATTTCAAGGTCAATTGTTGCTCTTTCATGGAATGCAGTGAATCAGCGGATAGCTTGAAACAGAATATATATATTAAAGAAAAACTTTTAATGCGGCACATCTGATCGTGACCTTCATTCTGACCTTGGTTATGGCCTTGAATGTCAATTCAAGGTCAAATAGATTTTTTCACGTGAAAACCCTCAATTTTGATCAGAGCGCTGAAAATGGAGAAACATCTCATGTTCAAATGACATATACTTATGCACATGCGTATGAGAGAGAGAAAGAAATGCAGACATGAAAGAGATGCCACATGCGCAGATCGTGAAATACGAGTTTAGATATAAGAATCTAGTCTTCATGTTCGGAGCTTACCTAGCATTTCTATCGTGTTGCTGGATATGAGTTTCCATAGTGGACTTCCGGTTCTTTTTGAAATTACATAAATGGCAAGAATACTGCTTTTCTTCACTATGTTCTATCGAATGCAAGGCAAACGATATGTTTGTCGTGAATTTTTGGGTGCACGTTTTGCATTCAAGTGGTTCGTCCAGAATTTTTGGTGCGATTTCAATCTGTTTTTTACTTTTCTTCATTTTTCGCTTTCTTCGAAGTCTGGATTTCCTAAAAATAATATCACTAAGACGTCTGAATTAAAAGTACAAGATGGTGTACTTACCGGCTTTTATCAAATATTCCACTAGAAACATCTACCATTTTCTGTAGTTTTTTTTCAACGACTCAGCACATTTTTTTAGTAGTAAGATTTGAAAGTAGTTAGAATTTTTCACAAAATATGTATATTGTTAAAATAAAGTGACTCTGGCGACGATACAACTTATACTAAGTGAAATATAAATCCGAACACCCAGTTTAAATGGTTTTATTTTAATAAAAGTTGGTGAATGTATTTATCTTACTGTAAATCACAAGTGAAAAAATTTTCAGCCTTATCAGTTGGACACTCCGGTTTTTATACTGCTTTTTTTTAATTCACTAACGCCCTAAAAATGAATATTTCAGCCGCAGTAAAGAATCAACGTTGGCGGATTTTGGTTCTTGACATCCTTTACAATCAGTTACGATGCCTAGAGTACGGAGACCTGTACGATTTCGTCAACTTAGTGAGTTTAGTGTTAGTTTAGTGAATGAATGGTTTGCAGAACACGGAAGACCTTTTGGCATGCGAAGTGTTTACCGACGAATGAGAAGTTACTTAGTGAATTTGATAGGGCCGTATAGTGGGACTTCGGGAAGCTGGACTTTCTTTTCGGGCAATTGCAGTTAGAAAGCAAAGAAGTGTAGACACTGTGGTTAGGTGTTATCAGGCATGGCTTCGAGAAGGCCGTACGCAAAGAGCAAGGGGCACTGGACGCCGCCGTAGAACAATAGACCGTGAAGATCGCCGCCTAAGATTATTGGCCTTAAAGGACCGTTTCTCCACTACAAGGTCCATTGCAAATGAATGGTTTGCAGAACACGGAAGACCTATTGGCATGCGAAGTGTTTACCGACGAATGAGAAGTTTTGGCTTGTTTTCATACCGGCCATACTGGGTCCTCCCTTTAACTCGAGAACACCGACGTAATCGCCTTGAGTGGTGCAGACAACGGTCACTCTGGGATCAGGAATGGAACAGTATTGTCTTTAGTGACGAGTCTCGATTTTGTTTAGGCATGCACGATGGTCGTGCCAGGGTTAGAAGGCGACGTGGTGAAAGGAGGAATCCACAGTTTTTTGTTGAAAGACATGTTCATCACACTGTTGGAGTTATGGTTTGGGGTGCTATAGCTTATGGTTCCAGGTCACCTTTAATCTTCATCAGAGGTAACATGAACGCGCAGCGTTATATACACGAAGTTCGAGAACCCCATCTTTTACCCTATCTTGACACCCTGGCAGATCCAACTTTCCAACAAGATAATGCCCGACCACATGTTGCAAGAGTCACAATAGACTTCTTTCAACATAATGATATCACATTGTTACCATGGCTACCAAGATCTCCCGACTTATCGCGTTGGAGAATGCGTAGCACATCAGGGTGCATCCACATTTTTATCATTTAATTATTATGCTTCATTAAGTACTTATACAAAATTTAATTAAAATAAAACCATTTAAACTGGGTGTTCGGATTTATATGTCACTTAGTATATTTGATAATAGAAACTCGATGTTTTTTTTTATACATTTTTATTTTCTTTCAATTACATAAATAATGATGCCTCAAGCACAAAGTACCGTTTACAACAGCAAATTTTATTCTAAAAGATAAAATTATGGTACGTAGAATTATTCTAATCACAGACCATTGCATTTTTGCAAATTTGTGAAACGCATTTAATCAAAACATCGCATTTGTCCATGCCCAAATCAGGTGGTTTTGAAAAAATACTAAAGCAATCATTTATGCATACACAGTAGGCATAAAAAGCATTTTATAGAAATTTTACCACAATTCAAAATAAATACAAACACTATAAATAAAACAATGCATAACGATAACAACAGTGCTTGCAATCATTCCTGCAAACTGAGTGAGCGAAAATTAGAATGTGATAAATTTAATGAATGGACATACTTATTTACAAACAGATAAGTTTATTCTTTGTGTATGTACTTCCAAAAAATATTTTATTACAAGGCCTTTAACCCCAGAAGACGAAGTTCCTAGATGTTCATGTAAACGGTATCTAACCTTGATTTTTGTTTCTGAAGGACATCTGATCCAGTGGCGTATATAGTACGTGAGTTCGTGTGCGGCCCATAGAGGAGGAAGGGGAGAGGTTTCGGGTGAATCGGGATAAAAAAATCATAGGGGATACATTACGTTGTGGGTTACAAATAATATTGAAAGGAATAATTCCGAGGTCACCTGAGAGAATTACACAGGTTTATTTCGAATACTAAAAACAGTGTGAAGGGCGTTGTTTACCCTTCTATTTCTCAAGAGTCGTAATCCGGAAAATATTGGAGAAAAGTCAATAAAATATACAGGGTTTGGCCGGAAAGTAATCGGACTAGTTTTCTTCCGCCATGACTGTACTTCGGAGCGTGCACACACCGACTGGATTCGGTAGAGGGCGTTCCTAGCTGACGAATGAGCGGCCGGTCAGTTGTCTCCGAGCACTTGGATAGTCAGGACAGGCGTTATCGCGCGACGTGTTTCTGTGAGTGGTGCAAGCCGAAAATGCAGCGTGCGTTAGAGCAGAGGTACGCGATTAAATTCTGTGTGAAACTCGGTAAATCTGCGACAGAGACGTTTGATATGATCAAGCAGGCTTACCCAGGTGTTGCTTTAGCAAGAAGTGGTGCGTTTCGGTGGCACCAGGCCTTTTTGGAGGGCCGGGAAGAGGTCGCTGATGAAGACCGTCGAATAAGTATTCGTTTAATTACGCAGATGTTAAATTTACCAAAATCTGTGGTTCATGACATTGTGATGGTCCCAAAAGTGCTCACTGACGACCAGAAATTGCGGCGAGTGGAAGTGTGCCAAGAAAATTTGAACATGTGTGAAAGTGACCCCCAATTTTTGAATAACGTAATCACAGGTGACGAGTCGTGGATCTTTAAGTATGATCAAAGAGGCAATGATCCGAGTGGCACACGACGGCGTCTCCTCGCCCAAAAAAGGGAAGAATGAGCAAATCGGCTCACAATCCTTCAATCAATCAATCCTTGGAAATCGCGCTGGCAGCGCTGTATCGACGCAGAAAGAGCCTATTTTGAAATTTTTTAAAGAATTGTAACGATTGGCTCAATAAACTTTTTTAAATCGACGCAGTCCTATTACTTTACGGACAAACCCTGTAAGCATGCATCTCATTAGCAAAACTGGTAAAGACTCACTTTCCTATTGCATTGTGACCTATTTCAATACAATAAATATTTATGTCTATCTCTGCATACGAAATTACTATTAAAGCTTTAGAAGCAGGTTTTAAATGGTTAAGGCTTTCCACTATGAGTTTGAATAAATCATATACAAAATTTCTTATCGATACCTAATCGCAAG